TATATATATAGTTTTAAATGAAATGAACGAACTAACTAACTAACTTTAACTTCATGACTAACTCATCAAACTGCAAATTTATTTATCATTTGACTCCTTAAGAATTCAGCAAAGAAATAAAATAAAGTAGAGCAACAAATCCACTATTTATCCATCATTTATTCTACTTAGTAACTAATTTTTGATTTGTAATAGGAAAATAGCAACAATAATGTGCTTTTACAATTTTATTGTTTATATTTTTTGTTAACATCTGTGTGCTCCTTTTGTGTTCAGGTTTTTGTTTTGGGGTCTAATGTTGTCATGTAACTCATGGTTTTTATTAGATATTGCAGATATTGATTGCAGAAAATTGCAGTTATGCGTATCGTTTGAATTAATGGACATAAAATACAGACAAAATCCTAATTGAAACACAGATTTTAGAGATCCTTTGTTAAATGAACAGGCTATGCTATTTTCTTTGAGAGATGCCTGAAAAAAAAAAGTCAAGTAATGTTTTAGAAACTATTCTTTTATTATTTCTATTATAATATGTACTTTCATAAAGCATTTCCTTTCAAATTGTAAAAAGCCCCTGGCTAAGTAGTCTAAAATATTTGATTCAATAGTTTTGCAGTCATAACTATTAAAATAACCTTAACTTTAAAAAAAAACACTTATCAATGTGTGCATACATGAACACATCACCTTACTTACTGTTTTAAGTTCAGGTGAAAATGATGAGCTTCATCATACTCCGCAGATTTCACAAAGTTTGTGCGCCAGGTGTAAATGGGAGCCCATGTGGATCTCCTTGTGTTTCCACGCCGGCGTCTGTCTCTGCTGTGAGTGAGCCTTTGATAGCTGCTGCAGCATGAGACAGACAGGCCTGTGCCAAAACGATGGCATCAAAAAGACAACGATTGACAGCTACTGACAGCCATCTTCCTCCTAAACACTCTTCAGGTCCCCCTGCGCTTCCTCCTTCCTTCTCTTCTCCCCGCTCTTTCGCTGTCTTTTTCTTTTCCCTTCCCCTCTCCGTCAGGGGAGATTGAGGAGAGTCAGAGATAAAGAGAGGGATGTCGTAAACTGGCACCTGTCATTGCGTTTTGTTTTGGTCAGGGCACAGAGAACATTCGTAAAGTTTTAAAAGACATTTTGAAAGATTTAGCAATTTCACTGCCGCTATTTGAATCTCCAGGTGGATCTTCAGAACGGCCCTTCATGTCGTAGATGTAGGTCTCAACATAAACACAAAGAAAACGTGCGTACAAGTAGAATCTGATGAGTTGAAAGGATGCTCGTTTTCCATTCAAACAAACAGACACAAATTAATAGTAAGTATGCAAAGACAGGTACTGACGATTCTTCGTTTTTATTTTCTGAGACCCGTCACGTCGCCGTGAAACGCTGCCGCAGAGACCGAAACGTCTGACACGAAACAACAAAGAAGCCGTGATCTTTGCCAGGCACATATGCGCACACGCATGCACGCTCTCAACAGTCATGCTAAAGCGACGCTTAAGCAAACGCTCGCATCTGTGCAGGGCGCGCTGATCAGCACACGTGGATTTCTGCAGGTTGCTGCTGGGGTTTCGTCAGCTCCAGTCGGCGACGGTGTTTCTTCATCGCGTTCAACCTGTGGAGCCATTATCTCCTGACACACTTCTTCTTCTCTAAATGATTTCTCTTCATCTCCGGCACGATGCCTAATCAAAACTGAAAGAAGGGAGCTTAATGCCATTCAGAGATCCCACTGCTTTCAACTGCTTTTACTGTCATTATGAAAATGAACGGCGGCAGCTGAGAACTCACATGTTCTTTCACAATGTGACGGAGTGTCTCTTAATGCGTCTTATGATCTTTGCTGTCTTTGACTGAAGGCCCTGGTCGGGGACTTGACTAATCACATTATGCATCTGACTCATTACCTTTGATTTCTCACTGCCGGTGCCAACAGTGTGCTGCTCATCGAGATCATTAGTGAGCATCGGAGAAAGTGCAAAGAAATAAAT